TTCCCTAATTCCTGCTTTCCCTGCTTAAAAAAGAAGACTAATTCAGATTTTGTATTCCTGATGGCTGAACCAGTAAAATCGTATTCCCCCTGTTTATTAAAAATATGTTTATATTGTTGCTATTTGTTGTGAGTGTTAAAGAATAGTAAAACAATCCATGCTTGGAATGAGCAGCTCAACAGAAAAAAAGAGAACATTTTTACAAAAGGTGTGAAATTAAATAACAGTTTTGGAAGTTCAGAGAAGTGCCTGGAATTAATCCCCAGGAATTTGCAGGTTGGGTTAGAAACTTCGAAAGGGAACCATTGCTCAGAATGAAACAAGTTCTGGTTATGGTTTTTTAATTAAAAAAAAAAGGGATTCCTTTTCTGCCATCCGTAGCTGTGAATGCCTTAGTCTTCAACTGAAAATGGAAATGTTCCCCAGAGATAGATGGATGGATGGATGGATGGATGGATAGATGGATAGATCAAGGTAGATAGGTAGATAGACACAGACAAATAGAAGTAGGTAGGTAAGTAGATAGGTAGGTAGGTAACAGTAGATAGGTAAATAGACACAGACAGAAACAGAGAGACAGACAGACAGAGATCTGATCCCCCACCTCCCTTTTTCCAAAGAAAGTTTTGTAAAGTCAGTAGTTTGTGTGGATGAAGTCCTTTCCACTTACATCCGTGTTTTGTCACCTTGTTTACTCAAAGAGGCCTTCCTGGGTCAGCCCTCCATCCTCGAGGGGGTGTGGGGGGAAGACTCACACCCTGGGTGGTCTTGAGCACCTTTGGGATTTCTAGTGACAACCCAAGCAATTGGCCAGTCTCGTTTTCTGCAGGGAAGAGTTCATCAATTCTAAGTATGAAATAAACGCAGGCGGTCTCCCCAGTAGATGGATGCTAATTTTAAAATACGGTTGGGCTGCCTTGGACTTAAATCATCCCTTTCTGTAAACGTTGTCGATGCAGTGGATCTCCCAGCTCTGGGTTGATGAAAAATTCATCACTTGCCTTTGAGGGAAGCAGGCAGATGCATTTAATTTTAAAGGCCTCTTTAGGCAGAAGACTGCACTCTGGCCCCAGATGAAGCTATGGTAGTTGTGTTTATTAAATCTATTAGTAGGTAATTAGTAGAATACATCTGTTGGCTCTCGGTCCATTTCCAAAATCAAGAAAGAAATTAACTTTTCAACTCCAATTATACCCATGGCGACATCACTGCTCTGTATGAAAAATGAAGAAACTCAAATGGGTCCTTCAGTCACTTTGCTGCCCGGTTTATAAGAACAAAAGTCTGCTCTGTTACTTCATGGTGTGTGTGTAAATCTTTTTAGAATGGGGGATGGACTAGAAGACCTCCAAGGTCTCTTTCAGCTCTATGAATTCAAGTTTCTTGCAGTTCCACCAGCCCTCTCTTGCCACGGCATGTGGGAATATCTTAATTACTTCATACCTTATTTCCATCTTTTCTGATGAAAATTTAAACATTTACTAAGGAAATATAAATTTAGGGAACAGTAGATAATTCTTGAAGGATTGATCAGTAAATTCAGCCCAGCGTCTCATTTTTCCAAGAGTTGTGTCCTGGTAATATATTCGTTAGCATAGGTGCAGTGTTGACAATATTAAATTGTTAATATACCAAGTGCCTTTCATTATATTTCCCGAGAATCTTTCTCACTTACTTTTAGCTACAAAGAGAAAGAAATATTTTCGAAGTGACATCTCTGTGAAAATGCAGGGATGGCTTTTTTTCATTTAAAAAAATCTATTACACCAGCCAAAGGTGACAGGGTTTTCTGATAATACGTAATAAAAAAAGAAAAATCCAATAAAAATAGCGGAATGCATTTTTTAAAAAAAAATTGCAGGAAACTAGAAAAATCCTGAGTTAAAAAAAAGGAAGAATTATTTGATCAGTCTTTCAAAACAAGATGAATCAAGCCTTGAAATGTTTTTCTGCAGGAATGGTCAGTAGTCCCAGCCAGCCAAGATGGTGGGCTGCCCACAGACCATAATTTTGCCCTTCAGTCTGGCAGTTCAATCCTGCAACAGCAAGAAAAAAACCCACTGCACCCATTTCATTGATTTAAATACTGGTAGACTGAGGCACAACGAGATCGGTATCAGGGTTGTCTTGGTTTTTACTCAGAGTTGATTCCAGGGGGGCCCTTTTGGGAGCAGATTTGTCAGATTTTAACTCCACATCCACTGCCTTGGACTATGCCTTGTATTCTTTTACGAGGCCCTTTCCTCTTTCCCCCCTGTACTGGAAATTGTAAAAATTAATCATGGATCTTCCGCCTACCCTTGCCCGTCCTCCCTGCTCTTAGTTGCAATGTATGGTAATTAGACATCAGAAAAGCTACATAAAGTTTAATGCGGCAGTGGAATACGATGTTAAATTATCTCAGACTGCATCCATTAATTAAAGAAAAGTTCTGCCAGAAATGGGGTTTTTTTTCTCCTCCTAATCTTTAAAAAGTGTATTGCTCTGTTCCAAACTGACTCTCCAAGGGTAGAAAAAGGAAAGCTGGGGAATAATTGCTATTGCGATTATTAGAGGGTAAAACGGCCTGAACCTGGATGACGATCTGAGCTTTGAAGTTGGGATGGTAGATAGAAGTGTCCATCTTGAAGTCAGGGAAAGCCACCGCTGAGAAGAGATGGTAGCCAGAGGACTGGGTTTCATGTGGATGCCTTTTCCATGGTCCAAGGCCTCCATCGCTGGTGTGGGTACAGAGCAGAGGGGAGGGGTCTTCTACAGTTCACCTGGACAAGATAGAGATGTTGACTTGCTGTAATTTGATGAGAGAATGGTGGTGACCAGGCCAGAAAGCAAAGGGCGATGAGGTTTGCAGCACCATGGACAACTCCAAAGAAGCTCTAGCTGGGTTGGGAAGCAGAGAGGAAGGAAAGGCTTCCCAGGTCATGGCTTGTTGGGTTTGTGCAGCACTGTAAGTTGTAAATCAAGGTTTCCATAGCACGGAGTCTGGATTCACAGAGTCAGCTCAACCAAGACTGAGGAAAACCAACGTACCGATGTATTGTGTGACGCTTATCCTCGTTTTTGAAAACGTGGAGGAATGAACTTCCTCTGCAGATCCCTTTCCTTCATTTTGGGTCAGTCCCCTTATGTGTTTTCTCCACTATTGTGTAAGTGCTACAGATAACCCATGTCCCTAGGGGGATTTGGAACGCTAAGTTACGACATCCCAGGTTCTTGGGAAGACCTCAATGAGTATCAAGCCAATGACAATTAAAGAACTGGCTACTTATATAATAATAAACCACCATCATTACCTTGATGGAAGAAACAGCATAAAATTCCAGTAGAAGAGAATATTGTAGCTCAAGCTTGAACCGTGGGGTCCTTGAAGTTCTCTGAGCTTAGTTATTGACTTGCAGACATTTCAATATCCAACTACGTAACATCATCAGTGTGAGGGAGTGTGGGGTTTTCTCCTTATTTATATACAGTCCCTTGCCCTCCTGGCATTGGTAGAAGCATGTTTTTCTTTTTGGAAGTTTCTTAATTTGGTTTTCTGTTTGATTGTTTGTCTGGTGTTAATCCTCGCTTATCTGGGTATTGGTCACTGGATATTTGTTTTTATAGGAGTTTAGCCATCCTAATAATTTGGAATAGAACAGAAATATGAATTTTCAGAAGTGCTCACTGATGACAATGTTGTTACCTAGTCAGGGGAATGAAACCTTTGCAGAGAACAACCAAGCTCGGAGAGCACCAAGGACTCCACAACGTTGAAAGTGCCCGATGCATAATCAACTTTATTTTAATGTGTGATGTGCTTCACTTTAATGGCAACCTTCACTAAAAGGTGCTGTGAACACCAGGCCCCAGGCTTTTAATCTTGCTAAGTGGCTTAATTTTCAGCTCTGTCTTCTTGCAGGGACCCCCACGATAGAAATAATCTGTAATTCAATCTCAGTTTGGTTCTAATGTGAGCGGGGAACAAGACGAGGAGAATCCAAACAAGCTTCAATTTTTCATGGGAATCATTTTTAGGGGCTCGGTGTCCCCCCCCCTTTCTTTCTTCCATTCTATTGAAAGCTGCTTTGCCAGGAAAGGTGAGCGACCTGCAAAGTGTCAAAGTGCTTGTTAAGTTTCCATCCCTTTATTAATGGTGCCCTGGAGGTTTGGAGGGCGAAGATGGTGTGGGACTACTTAGCATTCAAAGAAAAGGTAATGCCTGCCTGTCACAATCCACCCATCTCTTTTTTTCCTTTTGCTGTGCTAATTCACAGGCTGCTGGGATTGGGGGGGGGGAGGCATTCTTTGATCACCTGAGCAGCAGAGGGCTTTGCATGCTGGGGACCAATTAGTGGAAAATGCCCAAGGCCTGCAGGCAGCTTCAGAGAGAGAAAGAGGATCCATGCACTTTGGCACTTGCCCGAATTACAGAGTTGGAAGGGACCTTGGAGGTCTTCTAGTCCAATCCCCTGATCAGGAAGGAAACCCTATACATTTGAGACAAAGGGCTGTCCAATCTCTTCTTGAAAACCTCCAGGGATGGAGCACCCAGAACTTCTGAAGGCAAGTCCTTCCACTGGTTATTTTTTCTCATAGGAAGTTTCTCCTTAATTCTAACTTGGATCTCTCCTTGATTAGTTTCCATCTATTACTTCTTGTCCTGGCTACAGGTGCTTTGGAGAATAGCTTGACCCCTCTCTTCTTAGTGGCAGCCCCTCAAATACTGTATTAATACATGGCCATCATATTTTTTCCCTTTGTCCTTCTTTGAATGGACATACCCAGTTTAAGCTTCCAGATTCCTAAACATCTTTGTTGCTCTTCTCTACACTCTTTCCAGGGTCTCAGTATCTTTTTTGTATTGTGATTACCAGAAACAGGATGCAGTCCTTTATCTCCTGAATTTCTCCGGCTTTTTATATCTTTCTCCCAGAAAACCCTTAATAACATGGCTATCGTGATTGTCTTGCCTGCTGACTTACTAACCACCTTCTCTTTCCTGTTTTTTTGCTTTTCAGAAGCCTTTGAAATGGTCGTGCGCCACGCGAGGAACTACACCAACTCTATGTTCAGGAGCTACTATCGCCATGTGGCTGCCAGGACTTTTAAACTGGTGGGGGAACTCTTCACCGACATCTCCCTGTATGTCTTGGGCTCGGATATCAGCGTCAATGACATGGTCAACGAGCTCTTTGACAGCTTGTTCCCCTTGATCTACCCCCATGTGATTCATCCAGGAGCCCCCGACCCTCCTGTGGAGACCCTGGAGTGTCTGCGGCTAGCCCGGCGAGACTTGAAGGCGTTTGGGCCCTTCCCCAAAATCATGATGACCCAGGTGTCCAAGTCCCTGCAGGTCACCCGGGTCTTCCTCCAGGCACTCAACCTTGGCATTGAAGTGGTCAACACCACCGATCACTTGAGGTTCAGCAAGGAGTGTGGACGGGCGCTCCTGAAGATGTGGTACTGTCCCCAGTGCCAGGATCTGCTCCTGGCCAAGCCGTGTATGGGATTCTGTGGCGGGGTGTTGCAAGGATGCTTGGCCAGTGTGGTGGAAATCGACAGTTACTGGCGGGAATATCTACGCTCTCTGGAAGGGATGGTGAAGGGCATGAAGGGCACCTATGACATAGAACACGTGCTACTCAACCTCTTCTCTTTGGTTCAGGACGCCGTCATTTACATGCAGAGGAATGCTGGGAAATTGGTCACAACCGTAAGTTCTTCTTTTACTAGAGCCATTTGTCAGGGTGTGGGGTACTGATGTTACAGGAAAGTCCTCTCCTCCTCAGAAAGAAGGAAACACGCCTTCTCTCAGTGGGGAGAGAAAGTTGGTGGACCATTCATGACACCTAGAGCCAGCAGTTGCTGCTTTGGCTGGTGGGCTTCCATAAAGACGTGGCCCAGAAGACACTTGAAGGACATTCCTTCTTTAACCAGCATCTTTGTCTCCCTGAAGAAGACTTGGAAGCAGCTGAGATCATATTGTACGTCACGGTATGGCCGGGTTATGGACCGTAAAAGGTTCCCAATTTTTCTTTCCCTGCTCTAATTTTAAGATGACGGCTTGATAAATGTGGCCGGCCGCAAGACGTCCTTTTTGTCGGAAAGAAGGAAATGAGGCTGATCTTAATTTTCTCCCATCTCAGGAACCCCTGAAAGAGCCTGACTTGCATTTGTCTTCTTTCTCAGTTGGCTGCTCTCCTCCGAAGGAAGCACACCTGTCTTGGGTTTTTTTCCTTCCTGAAGATTCCAGTGTGGCAATTCCGCACGTAACAATGAAGCTGAAGCTGATCGTTTGCTCTGAATGACCCCCACTTTCTGTAGGGAGACTCTCACAAGGTGAACTCAACTTGGGAGGGCCACACGGACAGACCCACGTCGCTTCCCCAGCAATACTGTAGCATGAAAATAAGTGGTCCTTCCGAGAGAGAGGTAGGCAGGCAGGTCTTCCTAAGGTCTTGGTGGTCTCCCTTGCTTCGTGGATAGGAATCCAGGGCCATCCATGCCTCCCCTCCAAAGGGTGCCAGTGGTAACCCCATGACCCCCATGTGGGCTGGGGAATGCTGGGAGTTGAAATCCGCCTGCCTTAAAGTTGCCAAGTTTGGAAGCGCTACTAAATGAAGCCATGAAGGGGCTTGATGAAGGATTTCTACACTTCCCTAATTGCCAGGCATTAGCTGCCTTGGGGGGGGGGGGGGGTGGAGGGAAGGCAGGTGATTTTAAGCAAATGGCTTTTCTGTTCTGGCGTTAATAACTCGTGAACAATTTACTGGTACATTAAAGGTAAACAAAGATTCAAATGAATAACCCGGGGAGAGTCTTGATTAAGACACCACCGGTAAAGGAGAGCGTCAGGTGTTTCATTATTCCTTGCAGCACAAAGTGTTGCAAAACCCGCAAGGAAGAAATGCAACTTCCCGCAGCCTATCATAAGGAGAGATAGGAAGGCAGCTTTTCACTCCCTTTTCTGAAGAGGCTCAGATCCATTTTGGTCTAAATGGCTCCCAGGCAATTGTTGGTAAGGGTAGCTTGGGGTGGAAAGCCTAATAAATAATAATTGCATGGGATAAAATCAGTTCAATTTGTACAGGAAGAACAGAAAAGTTGGGTAATTAGGAGATTTGTCTGTTAACCTCTCAGCGAGACAAAGGCGGGGTGCAGAAGGTGCCAGGGGCTTACGCACACCATGACATCCTTGTGGGAATAACGCAAATTGTATCATGTGCAAAAATTGCATTTTTGTCTGTAGACACTCGATGTGAATGTGAACCTGGGCACAGACCCAGACCAGTTGGGGGTGGAAACACCCCACATGGAGAAAAAGCTGTTTCCGGATATTAATAACTGCCTTATTTTTGTGCTGTGCGTTGTGTCCTTGAGCACTCTCCCATCACTATGCCTCTGATCTGTAATAATTTTTATACCTTGTTATCTCTCGGGTTCAGCTGTTATGTGTTGGCGTAGCTGGCTGCCTCGAGTGGCATTTTTAAATCTATGCTTTTAAATCTGTGCTTCCCACTCTGAGGCCGCCTCTGAGGTTCACTTGATGTGGGCGAAGGAGTGGCAGAACCCGGGGTGGAGTCAAAAGAGGAATCAGTCTACAGCCTGTATGTAGCCACAAACTGACCAAGTCCCACCCCTCTTGAATTCCGTTGTCTTTTACCTAATGCCAAGAGGGTGCCAACCAGTTACTTTAGATTCCTGTGCCTAGGCACGTTTAGTAATAAATCAATTTATTACTAATTTGTGGTCCTGATCTTTTGCCCCTGATGCATGATGCCTCTCCAAACTGGAGGGGAAAATGTTCCCACTTAGAAAACAAGCAGGTCAGGGAAACGGTTCTTGATTTTCCTGTTATGTTCTTTTTTTGCTTTCCCTTTGATCTTCAGTGTTGCCTTTCTGCACACCAACCCAACTTTGACTTCAGGATTTTTGGACGCTCATCTTTATTGCTTCTATTTACATTTCCGATTTACTGCTGCCCTGCCCAGGGAACGTGAATTACTTAGATATATAAAAGCATAATAAAGAGGCAAATAAAAACTGCCTTTTAAGAACAAAGTCCCCATTAGGAGGCATCCTAAGCCAGGAACCGCAGAAAGCATCAGTGTCCATTACGGAAAGAGATTTCGTGAAGGGCAATAAAAGTGATTTAGAGAAAAGGTCGTGTCCAATCATAACAATTCTCAGCAATTAGGCATTTCTTCCAGCCTGCAAAACTTACTCATCCACCGCTGATTGTGTTAACTAGGACAGAGAAGCAATTTTTAAGGCTCAGGTAGGTCCAGCTATAAATGCAGGAGTCTGCAGTGGCATTTCTGAGCCAATGTCACTGTAACCTACGCAGCGAGATGGACTGTATAAAAAGCCCATTTCCAGTAAGAATTTAAAGCAGCCAGTTCAGAGGGAGGGCAGCTGCCGTGCCCTCCCTCTGAGTTGCTGGAAAGGGAAGGAGGAGGAGGAAAAATGAAATGGCAACCTTCCCGCTTACCCCGAAGCGCATCACCTTTCTTCAGGACGTCTGGGAGAAGATTGGGAGATCAGAAAAGAACCTTTTGCCCTGCCAAGCAAAACCTTTCAACCCCTGCTCACAAGCCCAGGGTGGATATTTTTCAGGGTAAAAATTTTTCAACTCTCCTCCAAGTCCCTCCACTTCCCTGAACAGGGGGATAACGTTTTGCAAAAGACGAAAGCGCCTGCAAGTGATTGACAGCCCAGCAACGTTAAAAGAGAAGCTTCTCAAAATTTCCACTTCTTCAAACCCCTAAGACAGCCTTTGACAGAAAGCAAAAACCGACCTGTCTACTTTCTCTGCCTACCAATACAGGCAGTCCTGAGGACAAAAAAGAAACTATCTGGGTTAGCGGACCCTGGAAGGAGCTGGTGTTTGCTGCTTTATACCGGCTGAAAATATATTTAGTGGAGAGTTAATCTGATTGTGCAGCCTTCTGCTGAGGTTTGAAAAGGTCTAGATGAGAACCAAAAAATGATGCACCGAAAATCACGCACGGCTTTTATATGCCAGACTTTGGAAGGGGATACCGGCAGTTCTCAACTTATAACGGTACATTTAGTGACCGTGACAAAGCTACTGGAAAAAGGGACTCGTGACCATTTTTCAGTTGACCGTTGCAGTATCCCCAGGGTCACGTGATCAAAATTCAGACACTTGGCAACTGACTTGTATTTATGACGGCCGCAGCGTCCCGGGGTCCTGTGATCCCTTTTGCAACCTTCTAACAAGCAAAATCCACGGGGGAGACCGGATTCACTTAACAACCCTATCCCTAACCGAACAACTGCAGTGACTCACTTAACAACTGTGGCCAGGTAAAGGAGTCCCTGGGGATTTTACTCGGCTGGTTGTTGCCAGGAAGGACGTAAAATGGGCTTAACAACAGAACTGCTGGGCTCAACTGTGGCCATAAATCAAGGATTCCCTCTAATAAACTGCGTGACTTCTGTGCCCGTGCACCAGTGGTCCCTCCAAGAGAGACCCAAGTCGGAGGGCATCGTTTTAACAGCTGGACCCTTGTCATTCAGTGGGTCTCTCTGGGTTGCTCCCATCATCCCCTGCCTGGCCTGGCTCCCGAGGAGGCTCTTGCTGGGGAATGCCAATCGAAACCCTTGGGGATGCTCCGATCCTTTCGAAAAACACGATTATTACCTTCTACCAGCTCTTAATGAAGCGGCCATAACGGTTCTTGTTGTGCCGAACTGCCGCCTTCTCTAAACATGGGCACTTGCCCTGAAGATGCTAATCGAGAGGAAGAGAAGGAGAAAAAGAGGCTTAATTAAGCCACTTGGCCAGCCTGGGCCCCCTCCTCCCTCCTCCACTCCGGTTTTACGGGCAGCCGCTCGTTCAGGGGCTTATTAAAGTCACGGCCGGACAAATTAATGCTCCGTTTCCGAGAATGTTGCTCTTGACTCCAGTGACGGGGATCAGGAGCCCAGCACAGGCGCCGCTAATTGTGCAAATCACCTTAGAAAAAAGTGGATCTCATGACTTGCTCATTCCCAGACTCGTCCCCTGTGGATTTCACCCCCCCCCCCCATTCTTGCAAAAGACCTCTGTGCATCATGAAGCAACCGGCAGGGAATGGGGCTTCCCAGAATCTGCAGCTGAACGTCGGTGGCCTCCTAAATTCTGGCCCCGGTTGTCATCGTAAGTTGAGGACTACCTATAATTCAGCTTTCTTACTATTAATGCATCACACACTTACGCCCCACTTCTCGCCGTCACATTTACAGCCTAAGAAATGTGTTTGGGGCAGAGACAATCTAGAGATGAAGATTAAGCACAGCATAAGCAGGTGCTCTGCTTTGCAAGCTCTATCTGAGAAAATACCTTTATTTTAGCAAAGGTGTGTTTTCTTCTTTTTCTTTCTTCTTCCTCAAAACATCAGTCCAGTTGCCTTTTCACAAAAAAAAAAAGCACTTTTGGGACAGCCATGACCTGGATGACTGAGAATCTTCATAGACCTTTATTCTAGCAGTTTAATAAAGTGCCTGAGAACTTTTGTAGACTTCCTAAGCATAGGAACTCTCCTTCCTCTCTCTGTCTCTCTCCCTCTCCCAAATAATATATATATATTTAATTTTTCTAGATCTGATGTTGGGGTGATTGTCACTCTGTTCAGTTTTGCTTGATACCTGTTGGTGGCCTCCTTATCTTTGTTCAAGGCATGTTTTCCAAGAAGCAGCCGTGAATCGATGTGATAGAAACCGTGTTCTTGTTTTTTCTTTAAAATGTTCGCGTTTTGTTGTCTTTTCGCATTTTGGCAGTGAATTATTTAAAGCTGCTGCAATATTGAAACACCCTCGGGGCGTGAAATATGTCTTCCTGGTGAGGTCATGTCAGGAAGGTTTACATTTAAACTAATACATTTATGTAGTTTTTCTTTATTTGTTATTTTTAAAGCTCATCACAGATTGATTAAAAAAATGGTTTCCAAGCTGTTCCAACCACGCTGAAAACGACTTTTTAAAAAGTCTTTGCATCTCTTTATGCATTTCGACCCACTGACCTCTCCCTGGTCCAAATGCCAGCGGTTCCAGCAGGAATGTCAGTGGGGCATAAAGAGAGCTTCTCCACAACCAGGTTTTTGCCTGTGGCACTGCAGTGTGTGTGTGTGGGGGGGGGGAATGCAGAAAAAGAAAGTGGGGGAATGTGCTCCCTCTCCCCAAAAGGCTGAAACTCAGAGGAGGAACCAAGCAGCTGTGTGTGCCAGGTGCCAGGGCTGCCTTGCACGATCTCAACCCATAATTAAAGCAGAGATTGTGAAGTGCAGCAGCTATGCCTGCTATTTCATGGAGTCAGGAACAAGTGTATGTATTCTGGAATGGATTTCCCGAAACACACAATCTGGGGTGTGTTTGGTGAGGGGTCACAAGATGTGGTGGCCTCTTGTAACGGAGGAGAAAGAGGAGAAGCTACAGGGCAGCAGAAGGGAGGCAGGAGAGAGAGTGCCCACTTCATTTTTTTCCCAAACCAGGAATCGGGGTTTGTAATTTTCCCTCGTGCACAATGAATCCTCTTTGGTTGCTTGCTACACTTTCTGCACTTACTTAGAGCCTCGGACGTGGCCTCAGGTGGAAGCTGTGACCGACCGTTGCATTCACGGACAGCAGTGTTTTTCAGTCTTGGCCATTTTTCAGATGTCTGGACTTCAGGTCCCAGAATTCCCCAGCCAGCCTTGCTAGAGTATTTTATTTATTTTTAAATTTTATTTGCTGTCCATCTCACTGCAGTGCCACTCTAGAGTACGGACAGATGCAAAGCTCCATATTTCCTCATCTAAAGGGGGGTGAGTCTTTTAATCACGCCCCAGGAATTCACAGCCTCTGAATCGAACAGGAAGTGTAAATCTACTTCAAATTAGTGACAAATCTGATTTGATTTGCAGTTTCAAGACTCGCAAGGAAGTGGCTTTTAAATTATCCAGAGCTGGAAAAGTGCTGGAATTCCTGATTTTGGGTTTTTTCCCTCGCAGATCAGCAAGCTGTGTGGCCCTTCCCAGCAGAGGCAGCACCGATCGGCGTGGAATCCCGAAGACCATGTTGCTGGCCAGAGGATGATGGGTGCCCCTCTGGTGGAACCCCAAGAAACCTTATCCACTCGAAAGAGGTGAGGAAACCAGGTTGGACTTTGTGCTGAGGACAATCCCTACTGGTGGTCCTTGACTTGCCACCGTCCATTTAGCGACCGTTCAGAGTTACGACAGCATTGGTTTTCAACCAGTCCTCACATTTACAACCGTTGCAGCATCCTCACGGTCACCTGATCCAAATTGGGGTGCTTGGCAACTGGGCATGGATGGCTGCAGAATCCCCGGGGGGGGGGGGTGTCCCAGGATCACCGTTTGCGACTTTCTCAGCCAGCTTCTGATAAGGGGGGAGGCTGGATTTGCTCAGCAGCTGTGGCCAAAAAGGCTGTAAAATCAGGCACGACTTAACTTATCAACTGCCTTGCTTAACAATGGAAGTTCTTGTCCCAGTGGTGATCATAAGTCGAGGACTATAGGTTCTCCTGCTCGAGCGGGGAGGCTGGACTAGAAGACCTCCAAGGTCCCTTCCAGCTCTCTTCTATTCCTTCCGGAAGAACAGGTGCTCGAAGTGGCGTTGATGCTTGCCTGACCGCTGGGTGGCCTGGCCCAGCCGCTCATCCCAATCCGGAAGCCTGTGAAAATAAACGGAGGAGCTGAGAGTTACAGGCCGTATCTGCCCTCTGGTGACTTAGCTCAGCGGAGCCTCCGTGGATTTCCTGAACCTAACTAGTTGGGACCTAACTAGCAGGTGACTTTCCCGCTCACCTCCAGAGCCAGAGTCAGGCCTTCTGGGGCTCTCATCCTGCTTCAGGCTTTTGGAAAAAAAAGGCGAAACCAGAACTGGAAGTGCCAGCTGGGCATCCTCCCTGGGACGACTTCGTTCCTGTTCGGACGGGAAGAGGGTTTCCCGTGTCCTCTTGTTTGTTGCTAAGCCAGGAGCAGACAGACATCCCCAAGGAGCCCATTGTGCAGCCTTGGTCTGTAATTAAAGCAGAGTTTTGTGGCCTTCCAGCTCGGAACAAATATAGCAGGAGAGGGGTTTTTATATATATATATATATATATATATGTAAAAAAACCTGGCATTTAAATGGTCAGAGAATGTGATCATTAGTGTCAGAAGTTCTTGGAGAAACAAAGCTGCAATTTTCAGCTCAGAAACCCACCCTGTGTTCTTCTCCTTTCTCCTTCCCTCCCCCCACCCCCACCCCGCAAGCCTGAGTCGGTAAGATGCTTATTTCAACTAGCTTTTTTCTGGAAAAGATCCTGACTAATAGTAGAGTAGCGGATTCGGTGATTTGATTGATGAAGTGGGATGCATCTTCCCAGCCCATCTTGTGTTTTAAGTGGCAGTTTGAAAGAGATCAAGAGCAAGTTTATTTCAGCCCATCTTGGTTCCAGAGAGGTGTATTCAGAAGTGTTCCATCTGGTTACGTTGCTAGGATTAAAAAAAAAAACAAAAAAAAAAACCTCAACAGAAATCCTGCTGGAAAATGGGATTGCGCGTTATCAGAAAACACACATTTGAGCTGGAGTTTTCAGCATCAAAGGGGGTCCAGATCTGAAAGAGCAGAACCCCCGGGGCATCGGAGTGACTTGTCTTGAAGATAAAACTTTGAAGAGGGGCGTCCAACCTTGGCAACTTTTAAGACTTGTGGACTTCAACTCCCAGAATTCCCCAGCTGGCCCAAAGATTGTAAAATCAGGCACGGTCATCTGGTGACTTGCTTACTGACTGCAACAAGTTATGACCATAATTCTGGGCTCAATTACAGTCGTAAGTGGGGAGGACTTATATGAGGATAAGGACAAGCCTGCACAGTTTATTAGAATAGAGAAAGAGTGAATAAAGAAGGAGGGAGAAAAGGATTGTGGTGGTTTTTCCTGGCCCTTGTACGTTGCACAACTGATCTGTATAATATCCTTATTTTGCCCCTCATGACTGCCAGCATGCACCCAAGATGCATTTGGTCTCCCCTGCAAATGCATGGAGCTGCCTGCCGGCTGCTTCCCACGAGGCCAAGACATTGTTTTAAGTTGTGGGTTTATTTATTTCTGAGTTTTATTGGTTGCCTGATAGCTAATAGTTGTCAGGAGGCTGTGCAACATAAGCATAAAATTCGGTCTCCCAGGAATAGAGAGCAATGAAGCCGTCAGCTTGGGTTTTCTCCCTCTGTTAAAATGCAGCACAAGTTGAAAGGCTGAAAGACAACACACACACACACACACACACACACACACACACAATGAGAAATGAGCTTTGAAAATGAGAAATGGAGCAGAGTTGCCGAAATGTAAGAGGGCAAAGGTCACTAAAGGGAAGATAAAAAACATGTTTCCTGGATGGGCGATTCTACAATGGACCACCTTGGGTAGGAATATGCAGGGCAGGATGGCTGCTTTCTTGGATAGTCCTTGACTTACAATCATTCATTTACTGACTGTTTCAAGTTAGGGTGGGACTGAAAAAAGTGACTTAGAACCAGACATATTTAGTGGCCATTGCACCATCCCCAGAGTCATGTGATCAGTACCCCAAATTTGCAAAGTTTCTTCCCGATAAGATTGGCACGATTGAGATTTTAGCTGGGTGGAAATGGCGTCACTTATCTTTGGCAAATTCTTGCGTGCCTTTTTCTGCAAAATGCAGCAGCCAGAGAGATGGAAAGTTCAGAAATTGCACCGATAAGCCACTGAAGAGTACCTGGGGAATATGGAACCCAGGATCCTTGCAGATTCTGGGTTCCACATTCAGCTCGTCCACTGAAACTGCACAGTTGAGCGAGCTGTGGAAATCCAGTGTTGTTGTATGTCTGCAGGGGATCTTTCTCACTCATTTTACTCTGCTTATTGTGTTTTTTATGATGCATTTTTAATTTCCTGTTGCCTTGATTCCTTTTTTTATCTGGCCAGCTTCTGAGTAAAATAAAATCACATAAATTCTAGGCTAAGTGCATCAATAGAGTTTATAAAGCAGCTTTTTTCATACATGTGCCTGGAAGACTATATCACCCCAGAAGAGTTGCTGTTTTAAGCTGTTGGCTGAATTGGCACAGATTAAACTCGGTTGTCTCTTTTGGACAAAGTGTGCCTTCAAATACTGGCAGAGTTCTGCATATCCAACAGTGCGTTAGTGCCATCTAGTGGCAGAGAGCAGTATACAACACATCATTTGAGCATCCATGCTCACCATAATTATCCTCCTTCAACGACTGAATTTTCCTTGAAATCTCACAGAATCGATAAACCCAAATTACTGATGACAGTGAGACAGATATGTGAGCTCTTCCTGGATTGTGGGAGATTCCTGCATTCTTGCTTGTGGTCTGAGCGTGGCATTCATTTCTCAACTTTAGCCAACTTTAAGATGGGTGGATTTCGATTCCCAGAATTCCCCAGCCAGCATGGCTGGCTAGATAATTCTGGGAGCTGAAGTCCACCCATCTTAAAGGTTGAAAAACACCGTTCTTCCATTTCAGTTGGAGGAAATGAACTGTTATTTTAACTCACTCTAATGTAATGCATGATTGGGAAGACCTACAAGGTCCTATGCTTTTGAGCAAAGATAAAACAATTGTGTAGCTTTGCTTACAATCTACTTTTGTGTTTTTTTTCCTTGCAGGGAACTTGTCACCAAGCTGCGGGCTCACAGTGGCTTCTACAGCAGCTTGCCAGAATATATTTGCAGCCACAGTTCCACGGTGCACAACAACACATTTTGCTGGAACGGACATGAAGTGGTGGAAAGGTATCTCCGTTCTCGTCTCCTTCCCCTTCTTTGAATTCCTACAGCTGGCCAAATTTTCATTTTTCATCTGTTCCACCCACCCGCTTTCAAGTGTGTTAAGCAGGATGTCCCAGAAGTGGACGCAACCACTTGATGAATCCCCAGACTGGCCAATGGCAGATGGACATGGCAATGCTCCGAAGACAAAATGGGGAATTCTGGGAGTTGAAGTCCACATATGGAAACCAATGGACATCAGTTGAATCTCAATCAGGGCTGTTAGATCTGGTCTGCCAACATCTGGACCACAGTAAAGTGGCAGCAAATATATATAAAACATCCACCTCTGGAGAGACTCATTGGATATTTTATGACTTTGGAAATAAAAATTGTAAGGAGAACATTTTAGTTCTGAAAATTTATTTTATTAAAAAAAAAAACTTTAGGTATAAACAATCCCAACCTTTGGATGTGGTTGGATGGTCAAGAAGCAAATTAATTAAATTTACAAGTAGCAAATTGCCAAGTAGCTTTTTTCACCTCCCACTCACCCACCCAGGCCTGTGGGTTTCTGGAACTTCAGCAAAGTCTTTCAAGTGATATTAGTGCAAAAGAAAGAAAAGGAGGCTTAAGAAAAATTGCATCCTCTGTTTTTTTTTCCTTCACTTTTTTGCAGCAAAGAAACCGTTTGCTCTTAGCTTGGGAGGGTGCACAAGTGTGATTGTAGCAGGACACTAAAGCGTGTCCTTTGCCATGCAACAGGGCAGGGACTCCAGCAGATGGCACCAGGAGAATAGCTGCCTGGCCTCAAGACCATGGCCAAGTTCAAAGCTTGCCTCCTCCACCCCTCCTCCCTTGCCCACCCCCAGCTTTCAGCAGCCCCTTTTATAGATCCTTCAGACCTTTTCAAGCCTTTGCTGCATTCCCTTTTCCCCCATCTCCACTCCCCTGATTTCTCCTGTCCTGCCGTCTAAGGTCTTCCTTCTCCATGATTTGGAGAAGTTCACGCTCAGCTTCCTTTGTCCACCCACTGCTGGGCGAATGGGAGGTGCAGGGGAGGCTGTGGATGAGGGATTATGAAGTCCAACGCAGACTTCGGAAGACCATCCTGGAGCCAAAATATTTTAAGCTGTGCCTGAAATGGACACCAGACCTTCCTAAATAGAGTTCAAGGGTTCAGAAAAGATCCAGCTTAACCCCGTGAAGGTCCGCGAAGGAATCCAGAATGAAGCTGGCAAGCCGGCTTTGTTCCAGCGCCAACTTGGGCAACCCCTGGCAGCAGGTTCTGGCTAAGGCAGAGTGAAACACAGTGGTGTCTTTGTGCCCTGATCTTTCGGGTCTTCCCTCTGCAGGTACAGCCACCCACCCACCAGGAACGGAGGCCGATCTCAGTTGGGGCAGCATGAGGCCAAGGCCAAGGGTCCCGAGCCGGTCATTAGCCAGATCATTGACAAGCTGAAGCACATAAACCAGGTGGGTGCTGCTGCTGCCTTCTCTTGGGGGCTGGAGGCAGGAGGTGGGACGGGAGGGGGGTTCAGTTGGGGTTACCAATGTCAGGGAGAAGGGGCTGGGGCTGCCCACAGGGCTAAGCAGTTATGGGGTGTGCCATGCCGATTGGAGATTAACATGCAAACACTATATTAGGATTTAAAAACCACTGTTCACGGTTTAGCATCCTGCAGGTTAGTTACTTTTCCTTCCTTCCTTCCTTCCTTCCTTCCTTCCTTCCTTCCTTCCTTCCTTCCTTCCTTCCTTCCTTCCTTCCTTCCTCCCTCCCTCCCTCCCTCCCTCCCTCCCTCCCTCCCTCAATTTCCTCCCTCCCTCCCTCTTAAACTCCCTTTGAGGACTTCTCCTCCCTTCCCCCATTAATTCACGGGGGAGATCCCAGTGAAAAAGTTGAAGCTAAAATATGTGGAGAGCCGGGGAAGACGAGAAGAGATTCAAAATCATCTGGTTTGAACTGGAGCTCTTTCTGCAAGACTAATCTCCAAACGATTTTATTTATGATTATGTCCAGTGTAAGGTCTACCTATTACAGATTAAGCTCTCCAGTTTCAGACCCACTTCAGAATAAGAGGCCAGGCATTTCTTTCCAGATTTAGGCACCCCTCCCTAATTACCCGCCTTGGAGAAAGCCATTAGAACAACCCTGCCAAGCCGTCTGGGGGGAGGGGCAATCCTTGATTCCTTTTCTAAGCCTGAAGGGGGCAGAGAGGGAGAGGCAGGGGAAGGAGGGGGTTAAACGCTGGAGATCAAACGCCCAATCTCCCTAATTTGCAATTCATAAGTCATTTTCAAGGAGGGCTTTGCAGAAGGGATGGAACTGAGCAGGATGGGGGTGGAGGTGACCTGGATGGGAGGGAAATGCTCCCCCCCCAGCCCCCACCCCAGAGGTTACACAGAAATAAAACCTGGAAAATATTTCAAGCCCTCCTTATCATGACAGATCTTGGAGGGGGTCAGCCAACCCACCTGTGTCTTTATTTGCAATGTGGGTCCTTCCAACTCTGCAGGTGGCTCTGCCAAGGTGCTAGCCCTCTTGAATTGCCCCACACAGGAAGTGGGGGATGGGGGAAGCAACTAGGTGGAAAATGGGGATCTAGCAGTCCTGGGAAGCTGATCAGATGCGACTCTGCCCAAATTCCAGGTCTGCCTCTCACTTTAATTAATTATATTAACTGACTGGGGCCTTTGTAAGGTATCTTCCAACAACTTCTGACATCTTCTGGAATGATGTCGTGGTCCTTGTGCCACCTGAATGGGCACAAAGCTTTGTATTGTTTCAGCGAGGAGTAGGAGAGGCCATGAAGAGATGCTACATGTGGATGGCGTGAAGATGAAGGTTGTGGGAAGGAAGGTTGGGAACAGACGGTTGGGCCTCTCCTATCTCCACCATGAGTGAACTGAGCTGAACTTGGTCTGCAGCTCAGCTCACCCATGTTGAGTGGAGGGTTCTGCTTGCTTAGGTTTCTTCGCCAGGGCTTGAGATGTGAAAGTCATCTGGGCTCTGCCTGCCCTCTTTTTCTCGCCAGCTGTCCAGCAGGCTGGTGTTTAATCAACACTTTGGCACCCCTCTTGGATTTCAAAGGGAGCAGCCCTCTCTTTGAGGAGCCCACTGCATGTGGGGGCATTTATCAAGCTAACAGGAGCATGCCAAAGGTAAACAGAAAAAGGAAATGGGCCCTGGGCATCTTGCAACACACTGGAGCAATTAACAAAATTTGTTTATTGAGATATCAAGTCAGCTCACACACGGAGGGCTACCCCCGGACAGCTTCTACATTACCGCACTGCATCGGGGCTTGTGCAAAAGAGCCTGTGCCAACATTATGACCAGGGAACATAGTTTAGGGCTTTTAAGGGTTGTGGACGCTCAGCTATTATGGTTTATTCAATCAATCCTAGTTCTAAAAAACATGGTGCATGAACTGATCTAGCACGGAAACGGCAGAGCCTTCCCACGTATGATTGCGTTGTCCCTTTCAGAAAAGTAAAATCACAGTTCCCGTGATCACTTCCCAGCTTAGCCAGTAAGGAAGATGGAGAGTTATGCTCCCGAAGACTGGAGATGTTCAGCTTGGCAAAGAGGCAGGGAATTTGCTAGCTGCAGAAGACCCTGACCCTGTTTTTCCCTGAGGTCCTCAGACGGAGACACACGAGAAGGAGAACCAAATGAGCAGAAGACGAGAGGGAACTTGGATTGTTCTCCTCTGGCTTGTTCTCTTCCACCTCTCAACCCCTCTCCTCCAATTTCCCCTTCATTTCTGGGTGTTGTTTTAGCTGGAAAGTCCTTATCAACTTTCCCAACCTCTAAGCTTGATTGATGTCCCAAAGCTCTGGAAAAGTATGCAAAACATCTCCGTGCAGTCCTTGGAATGTCTTTTTTTTTTTTTTTTATTAAATTCCTTTCGGTCATGCAGACTCAATTAAAGGAGAGGTTTTATGCCTCCGAAGAATAGGAATATTAATTCAGAGCTATCTAGCTATCTCTGTCTTTCCTCTGACCAATTTCAAACCAAGTCCATCTTTCAGAAGAGGCTCTTGGTTGCTTTTGAAATTCTCCTTCATCCCTCAACCATTGAAGTCGCCGGTGGCTGGCTTGGTTTTATGTTTAAGGTTTGGGCGAGTGGGAGGGGGCCCTTAGAGCTTAGGGGAAAGGCAAAGTTGCCTTTCTTATTCATCAGTGGCTCTCGGGGCTGCTATACTTTTTTCTGGAATTAATTGAAGATGACCTCCGCTGGGGAAGTTGCCCTTAATATGAAGCTGGGCTCACATGTTGCACTGAACACAAATGCTGGCTGAGGAATTCTGGGAGCTGAAGTCCACAAGTCTTCAAGTGGTCACGGGTGCAGATCCCTGCTCTAGAGGTTAAGGCACCCGGCTAGAAAGCGGGAGAGGAGCTGGCTGGGTGACCTTGGGCCAGTCCCTCTCCCTCCATCCTACCTCACAAGGTTGTTGTGGGGAAAGTAGGAGGAGGAAGTTCTGTAGGATATATTCACCGCCTCGAGTTATTTGTAAAAATACTAAAGGTGGGATACAAAAAGGAAAAAAGAAAAAATCAAAATTAGAAACACCTTGTTCTCTCTGCGGGTGTTACGGAACACTTTATGAGACCAATGAATCCAGGAGGGTTCCGAATCTCACCCCATGACTGGTTCAGGCCCGCAAAGTGGCGTCCCGCCCTTCTTTAAAGCAGTGCCCGCTTGGCGTCTCTCCTTCCAGCTGCTGAAGGGCATGGCTGCCTCCCGCCGGAGAAATCTGGACCCTCCTGAAGATGAGGAGGGGGCCGAGAGCGGGGATTGCGATGACGAGGATGCCTGCAACGAGGCTGCGGTTTCTGGGGACGGCGAGTTAAAAGTGAAGAATCAACTAAGGTTTCTGGCAGGTAAGGGGGAGCTGGAACTGTGCTGTGGCAGCCACCATTGGATCGCAGGTAGTCCTCGAATTACGACCGCGGCTGAGGGCGGCATCTCGGTCGTAAGTCCGTGCGGTTGTAAGTTGAAGCGCTACGTGACTGGACTTGATTGATGGCCGTTTTTAAGGGGGTCAATAAGCAAGTTGCCATGGTCATTCAGAGAAACATGTGGTCGTAAGTGTGACGCAAAACTTGGAGAGTCCGTCCGAGGCCACCATTGCAAAGAGGGTGAAAGAAGCCGGTGGAGGGCAGGCGCAGATGGGAGGGAAAAATAGCATCCGAGCATTTAAGCTACAGATTTGAATTTCTGCTCTTTCCACCACATCTAAGATGTTTGGGGCGTCTGTGGTGGCAGCTAGCTTGATTTTTTTCAAAACCAGATATCCCTCTTAGTGGCCTATTTTGGGGAAGGTCTGTTGGGAAAAACTATTTACCTTATCATGATAAAAAAAATATAGCAAGAGTTTCCGAGAAACTGGAGTCCTTTCTTTCTTTCTTTCTTTCTTTCTTTCTTTCTTTCTTTCTTTCTTTCTTTCTTTCTTTCTTTCTTTCTTTCTTTCTTTCCCTGGCTGACTTGGATGTTGGACTACACCTCCCCTTCGGGCTCAAACGCTCCAGTCGCCCATCTCCCATGACCAAAAGCAACTGAACCTGGAAAGAATCAGTCCTGGAGCTTTCAAGTTTAAAGAGGAACAATATAAAATGTTTAAAATGAGTCCAGATGCTTCCATAAATCCTCTCCCCTTGATCTGCCACAATTACCTGGCATTTAATGAGTGGAAGCAGAGAGGGTACTGCCTGTCGGATTCTCTTGCGTGTGAGTGTGCACGCGTGTGCGCACATGCAGGCCTACCCACTCTTACTCCGTAAATCAAACTCTCTGGTGATGAAAGACCCAGGGAAGCCAGAGCGGGTGTTAGCCTCCCTGGCCTGAGAACCAGGCTGGAAGAGGAGACCCTCGTGGGTTTCATAAGGAGGGTTCTTATCCAGCCTCTGAGGACCAGAACAGCACGGAGCGTGATTCGATCTCATGACATTTTCTGTCTTAATGAGCTGCAGCTGCGGGAAGAAGAGCCGGCCAGCTGGGGTTGAGCCCCTTTTCGATTATTTGGATTTCTCAAGCCCCCCCTCCTCTCCCCCCTTCAGGGTGAGATGGGAAGGCGAGGGAAATCATAGACTTTTGGGGGTCATGGAAGGAAATTTTGGAAATCATCTCCCATCTCAGCTGCTCTGCTCCGAATTAGCAGCCTCCCCGCCCTGCAGTTAATTAGCGGAGAAAAGGGCTTGCTGGACCTGGAGGTGGGTTTGGCTGGCAGGCAGAACAACCGCTGCTGTGGTGGCTCACTGGAGAACGTGGTGCATGGGAGAACGTGGTTGGGGACAGCTTGGAGGCACAAGGCTGCCCATGTTATTCTGGGGGTTGTGTAAGGAATAGAGCCGAATGGATACAGAGGCCGCCCCGCTTGTTAGTCCAGAGAGGATTTAGAAAGTTACGTGTGCGAATTTCCATGCTTTTCTTCAGCTGCCTTGGATGGTTGGGACATTCAGCGAGAGGGAGGGAGAGAGGGAGGAGAGTGAATGAGAGAAAGGAAGGATTCTAGTCCTCATTGTTCTGAGCAAAAGGACTGATGCAGGAGAGAGTGAAGACGAGAAGAGATGAGAAGACAGAACAAGGGTTTAAGCCATGTTCTCAGCATACTTCAGGATCCTGGGGGGGGGGTGTTCTTATCATCTTTGCCTTTTAAGCTACCAATTTATCTATTGCAAATTTCAGGGCAGTCAACAACAAAACAATCATGCAAAAAAAAAAATCAATTAAAAAATGATTTATAGCACTAAAAAGGGCAGGCAGGCAGACCGAAAAGATGAGACTAGCATAATAAGAATTCTTGGTGCCTAATTAGTAGCTGAAGAAATCTTGCCTGAAATTCTCCTTGGCCAGGCAGTTCCGCCCCTGAAGTGTCCTGGCCCCAAACGTCTTTTCTCCAGCCACCCCACCCCACCCCACCCCCGGCATCCATGGGTGGCCCTGGGCAGAGGAAGAGACAGCTCTGCTATTGGGGCTTCTCTTGGGCCACGGGGATCAAGCCGTGTAGCGGATGACCCTTAAGACAGAACAGTCATAAAACTGCTGATTCTCGCAATGACAAAGATAAATAAATTGGCAGGCTAGAGCCCTGTTGGTGCCTTTGTCCTGGGGAGGGAATATGGGAAGGAACAAGGCAGGAAATCCTGAATTAACTCAATGACTGGAGCATTGTTTCCGTCTCTGCTTACGAGAGAGAGGCAGACTTTTAGCCTGTCGGAAGGGATTGTGTTTATAGCAAACACAGTTCCAGTCTGATTCTTCAGGACTTGGGTTGCATATGCCAAATCTGGAGTGGGGCTTGTGTGGGGCCTGCTTACAATCTGGAGATTCCTCCTGCTTTGGTCTGGAGACACCCCGGGGGTGTGAAAAGACAGGCAGGTGGTTTGTGGCGGGAGGGGGAGGAAGAGGAGGAGGAAGGAGGGGAATAAAGAGGAGGAGAGGGAGAGGAGAAGAGGAAAAGGAGGAGGAGAGAAAGAGGAGGAGGAGGAGGAGGAAAAGAAAAGAAGGAAGAAGAGAAGAGGAGGAGGAAGATACGGGCCTGGCAAACCTGTCTGGTGGCCACAGTTTGGAATCTGAAGTGCGGATGCTTCGAGTTGGAAATGGTTGTTTGAATCAGTTCAGAAGCCCCTCTGAGCTTCCCAGGGCTCCCTTTTCAGGTCTGGAGGGTTTCTGGAAGGGCCAGGAGCAGCTTCAGACTGGAAACTGCTTCTGCAGAAGAGAAGGCCGGGCAGAAGGATGGATCTGGAAGCCATGCTTTACGCTCTGGCCTCGCTGGGGATGGTTCCCCTCCCCTCCCGTTCCTTATTTTCAAAGATTTTTCAGTATCGAAAACGTTGACTTCTGCTCCGTGGTGGTTCCCGTGGGTGGGTGGGAATGGCCTTGCCTCTCCCCTTCCTCTTCTCCGTCTTCCCTGCCAGCAACTCTTGTTCCCACAGCTATAATTTCACTTTGTCAAATGAAAAGCAGTGCATGGATCCAAAAAAACATGTGTCGCTGGCTGAGTTTTGTTTCCTGCTTTTATGCCCCCAAACCAGAAGTCTCTAAACCGGGGACTCTTCAAAGAGGAGCCCAGCGGCTTTTTTTGCACTCCCGGAGGGTCAGTCATGTTGACCAGGTGGAGCCACAGCGTCCCCCACTGCTGCAGGAGTCAGGGGCTCCGAAGTGGCACATTAGTTTCCCTGGACCACCCTTAGCTGAAAGGAACAAAAAGTGGACAGGAGCAAGAGAAACGCTGCACGGGTAGTCCTCAGCTTACAACTGGCTGCTTACCACCTCTTTGGGGTTACAACGGACTCCCCAAAAGTCATTTACAGCCCAGCTTCAAAGTTCCAAGAGCCTCACGCGATTCCTTTTGGGGTGTTTGGCACCCAGCTCCCCTTTGCAGCTTTTTACAGCCTCCTGCTGTTGTGTGACCACGGTTTGTGATGTTGTTTAGCAAAAACTGGTGTTTATTTCTGGTTTTCAGCAAAAAAAAAAATCCATTGGGTACAATAGGTACACTTAGTGACCCCCGTATTTGCTTAACAACCACCGCCACAATAAAATAGCCGGGTGTGTCCACCTGGTGACCTGCTTAACAATTGGCATGACTTACCTTTGTAGTTCTGGGCTCAATTACAGTCTTAAGTTGAGGACTACCTGTAACGATCCTCGGTATAGTGATTTTTTTTTAAATAGTTTTAAAAATTGCTTGCAAGGTTTTATTAAAAACAATCATTGGCCAGATTTAAATATTTGCTTTACTGTTTTATGTCACCATGTGCCTTTGTACGTGGCTGGATGGCCTTGAAGAGGGCTTTCCCCGGGCTCGGCTGCTTAAAAGTTCAAAATACTTTAGCAGGACCAAAGATTAGTTTTCCTTTTAAAGCGCATAAATCAGTGTCAGCCAGGCCTATTTTCCTGAGTTTGCCTGGCTGTCGGTGAAAAGCGGCTGCTTATTTAAGGAGATCTTAACCGAATGCATCCCCTTCAGGTATCCCCTTTAAAGCAGCCCTTTTTTTTTTTTGCTTTGGACCCAGTGTCCAGCACACCCTATGTTTTGGGGCTCTTCATGGCGTTTTGAATCATACCCAAGGGGAAATAGCTGGCTGTTTTACGAGATGTTAACTCTACCCGTAGCCCGGGAGAGAAGCTGAATGCAAACACCAAATGGATGGGCTTCCCCTGAGAACCAAAATCTGGGCCTTCTTGTTCCAAACGTGTTTATACATTTGCTGAAAGGTTTGTTATCTCCCCCCTCCCAGCATGTTTTTTTAAAGGAAGAGGACCTCGCTAGGAAACTGAGTAAATGTCTTAGAAAAAAGAAAACAACTTGCTGCTTTCTTTTCTCTTCCCGTTTTAAGTTTCCTTTGACCACCTCAAGAGTTTCCAGTTTGTTTGCTTTGAAGGCAGAACCTGCGTTTTTTCGGCTGGGGTTCTCGGTGCCTCTGCCTTGGAAGGGGCTTTAAGCAATTCCGTGCCTGGTTGTCAGAATTGGGTGGTGAGGGTGCAGTTTGGTCCCCTTTTTTCGGCCTTTTGGGTTTAGCTTTTTACTTGCTTTGAAAACGGGCTCATGGATTGCCTTTGCAATCCCTGACTGTTTTAGTTTTGATTTCACATCCCTGCTTTTAACTCTGACAGTTTCTTACTGTGGACCAGCAGCAATGAGGGCTAGTAGGAAGGTGAATTGAAAGTGGTTTCAATTTGGGATGCAGAGACTTCTGGGCGTAGGTTTTTTTTCCCTGCAAAGTACTGGACACTTATTTTCAACGTGAACAGCTCAGGGGTCTGTATTTTGACACATGGTCATCGCTAGGACTGACTCCTGTTCATTTCTCTTACTCTCTTATTTATCTATTCTCTTATCTATCTTAATCTATTCTCTTATTTCTTCTCTTATTTA